GCCGCAGAACAATAGAGAGTTCCCTAGTTCTTTAGCGCATTGTTACTTAACGAACCACCTTAGGATTATCATGTAAAATTTTGATTTAGAATTTGAAATTTACAGAAGAATATTAACTTTAGAATTTAGATGTTCTTATTACAATAAAACTAACTGGTATCAAGACGATCGACTGTTTTTGAATTGTTAGTCCTGATAAACAAAAAAACATYTTACCAAATTTATCCTTTAAGGTAAACCGCAGCCAACAAAGCCTCCAACACGCAGACCCAAGCCAAGTGAGTATATTAGCGTTTTGTTAATTTTTGTCGGTATTGCTATTGATAGTTATCGTCAATAAATCTTGTAGTTTTTCTCGCACGTCCATAACGTGCAAGACTTGGCACCAACTCCTCAATTGTCGTATATGAATAAGCAGGGATTGGTAACAAGCTAAAAATAGCTTGTTTCTAAAAAGAGCATAAATAGTGCTCCCGATAGGGTTCGGGTAGAAGTTTTCTTACGTCTTTTTCTCTTGCAATTRTTTTAGGTCTTCCTCCCCTCTTCGCATTCTATCCTTTGAAGTATAGTACGAAAGGACGAGATATCAGCCCTAACAAGAATCCAGACGGTAGAATTAGCAATGTCAAATACCAACGAGGCCCAGCAAATAAACCCGGAGGCTCCATTCGCTTCAGAGGGCKASCCAMCAGCTTTGTAGAGTTCCCAAAGAAAAAGAAAAAGACGAAACCRGCAGATGAGATTACCGTCCTTGCCTACATCTACCCAGCAGGTTATGGAGGACCAATCCTTGCCAACGCAAATCCACGAGGSGTCGGTATTAAATTCTACACTACAAAGAAAGGATTGAAGGTAAACTTTTCATCTCCAAAGAAGCCACGCACATGGAATGTGAAGACAGGAAAGAATCAGAAGCTTCGGCAACGTACATGGAGCTTTGTTGGAGTTACTTACAATTGGAAAACTGGTGTTGCCAAGATCTTTATCAACGCAAGAGAATTAGCCAGAAGRAGGATCGGCCGACTTCGTTTRCCAATAGATTACAATATGCGTACAGGTGCTGTGCGAAGAGATCCTCGAAGGCTTCGTGGTAAAGTTACTTGTATTCAAATGTATCTTAAGGAGCTCACACCTCAACAGATACGAATGGCTAGAAGACTTTGCTTTAAGACAGGTAGGTAACAAGAGAAAAGGCCTTCCTCGCCAACAAAGTGGCTAAAACATGAACGAAAAAAGGCAAAGATGTTTCAATAACACAGCACCGGTCGTAACCTGTTTTTTATTTGCCCCTTATGCTTTTGGCTTTATGTTTGAAAATATGAAATGCTTCTAAATCTATGATTTGATGACAAACCGACGGATAGAAACGGTTTGCGAATGGATGTTTCACGTCGCTTCATTGTTCATATATGAAAAATCTAAAACAGGACTGCAATGGATGTTATCTTGTCGACGAAGGAACATTTTACTGTAGAAATTCAGTTCAAACCCACAGAAGAAGTTTCTATTTATAAGTAATAGCATGGCTTCCTCGGGAGATTAGGGATTAAATATCCCCGAAGCCGAGGGCAGATAAGTTGAAGTCACGACGGTCGCTGGTCACATTACTGGCGCTGAAACAGGTTCTCATTCCTCATGTTATAACATCCCTCCCTCATGAATAGCATGAGGGACGATTACTGGATGTTCGCTTGTAAACATCCCTCGGAAGACAAGAGAATCCGAGGTGATCATGGTATTACTTTGCTAATATAACTGTACTGTCACGATGACCAGTTCAGAGCTGCTAACACAGACATTTCATCAACATTAACTTAGTTAAATTTCCTTTAAGATAAACCGCTGCCAACTAAGGCTCCAACAAAGAGACCCCAGCCACGTGAGTATAGTATTTTGGCGTTATTTTAATTGTTGTAATTTCTGTATTGGTAGAATAAAGTATGATGGGAAACATAGCACTAGAACATAATTCCCAAAAAGCTGTTTTTGGATTTTCTTTGCAGAAATGGAAGTAGCTATGCCGTTTCTATAAAGAAAAAAAAAAAACGCTTGTAGGAACTATTTCGAATTTGAAAACATCCTTGGGGCATAAGTTCCCACATACTTTTTCRTACAAAATGGCGTCACAGTTCATTGCGAGCTACTTGATTTTATGACTACTCAGTTTCTCTTTTTAATATCTGCAACTATGTTGTCGGCTTGGTATAGTGCTTACTTCATTTTCAATGAATTAGTCATTTTCCGAATTTCAGATTGAAAAAGATTGTTTACAGTAACTCATCTTTTTCGGCCCAGTCGTATTTAGAGTTTTTTCTTCCACGTAGGATTATTGAAGATTTCTATTCTTTCTTTGTCACTACCGTTGTGAGGATCGCAGCTTGTAATATTCTACTGTTTTGTTGCGGTGAAATTGACTGAAAATGTTTGAACGGATATGACAGATAACAATGATATTCATTGTATCTTTTTTAGGGCTACCTTCCTCTCTCGCATTCTATCCTTTGACGTTTCGTACAAAGGGACGAGACATCAGCCCTAACAAGAA